ACACTAAACTATCTGCTTTTTTTTTTTTTGTATTATGCTCTTTGTTCCTGCTCAAGCTACCTTACAGAAGCCAACTTTTCTGCCATGCCCAGTGGATTACATGTCTAAATATTTAGATGAGATCCTGCCTAACTCATGAGTCACTAATAAAAGTCAATTGATTGAAAATTTGTTTTATTAACAAGGGAAACACAATTCAACTCCAAAGCCCTTAGAAGAAATCCTCTCCTATCTTTTTTGTCATGCTCAACTTCTCTTTTATGGGTGTGTGAGCTAAAGGTAAGGAATGGGTTTCCAGTTGCATAACCAGTTTGAAACCACACTGATGTCCTTGCACCTGGCACCTGAGTGTAGGCACTGAACATTTGTTGTTCTCACACTTGGGAGGCCTTCTGAAAAGTGAGACAACAGAAAGACAAGTTATTGCTGTAATTTAAGTAGTCATGGTTTGTGCCAGTCAGATGGTCAATATATTTGTTTCATAATCAATTGCTGATTTCTCATTTATGCTTGTCCCTTTTCATGCTAGAGGGCACAAATACTAAGTTACTCTGATTGCTGTCAGTCCAGTTTGTGAACCATTTACTATCACTACACTTTTAGTCCCTTCATTCTGTGTTATCGCCATTGTCATTGTATCTGTACAGTCAGCTCTTCAAGATACAAAATAAAGGAGAGCAGTAGTAGGTTGCTATAATACTCAATTTTGAAGTAATAATAATATAATAAAAATATTTTAGGTTCTTCATTTCCATCAGAGTTTTCACTTGCTGAGCCTGGAAACTGTCCCACAAGAAGACTGATTTCCTTCCTGGTTACATATTGGAGGACTTTTAAGAACAGGAACTGCATCTTGGAAGCAGATACTGCCTCGTAGAGAGCTCTGTTGTCACATATAAACAGAGGATGGTGAAGATGAGGTTTCCTGCAGAGAAGCTGGCTTGAAGACACAGCTAGAGTAAATTAAATTGAAAAATGAACTCCTTGACTGAAAATACTGGACTCTATAAAGTGGCAGACTTGACCAATGAAAAGTTTAGAATGCAATATACTAAAGGCTCCAGAACACTTGAGTATCAGAGGATGGTCTTATATAGACTAAGGTGATTAAACATCAGTGGTGAAATATGTCAGAGAATGGTAACAAACAAATTATGCCCTGAAAAGAGCACAAATGTCTACTTTGGAGGACAGCAGCACTGAATCAAACCATTGAAAGAAATGCCTTCCTGAGGAGTCACCTTTAAAAATATGGGATTCTCTTGGATTCCCTGCCCCAAATGAGAGGAACTTATCCTGCAATATCCAACCCAAGAGGATGGACTATGACTCTGAGCCATCCTCAGACCCTGTTCTGTTCTAAATACAGTTTCACATGTTCCTGTGAGTTGTGGGGAGCCCTTCATCCTATGGACCAAATAGTCTGATTTCAAAATTACAGGAGACTTGTGTGAAAAGTAGGGAACTGGAAACCAGACTTCATCTTTTAAGGAATTTGTGTAGGCTTAGCCCCAAGTCTAAGAAATTTTCACTGCCTTTGAGAAAGAGATGACACAGACAAAGTGCTAACTAGAGCTGGTATGTTTTTGGATGATGAGAGCTGGTAACTGTCTAAAATTTAGAAAATGACACTTAATTATTTTTTTTTTTTTTTTTGACAGGCAGAGTGGACAGTGAGAGAGAGAGACAGAGAGAAAGGTCTTCCTTTGCCGTTGGTTCACCCTCCAATGGCCGCCGCTGCAGCCGGCGCACCGCGCTGATCCGATGGCAGGAGCCAGGATCCAGGTGCTTTTCCTGGTCTCCCATGGGGTGCAGGGCCCAAGCACCTGGGCCATCCTCCACTGCACTCCCTGGCCATAGCAGAGAGCTGGCCTGGAAGAGGGGCAACCGGGACAGAATCCGGCGCCCTGACCGGGACTAGAACCCGGTGTGCCGGCGCCACAAGGTGGAGGATTAGCTTATTGAGCCACGGCGCCGGCCGTTACAGAGAGAGGTAGAGCCAGAGAGAAAGGTCTTCCATCTGCTGGTTCACTCCCTAAATGGCTGCAATGGCCAGAGCTGGGCTGATCCAATACCAGGAGCCAGGAGCTTTTCCTGGGTTTCCCACTTGGGTGCAGGGGCCCAAGGACTTGGACCATCTTCCACTGCTTTCTCAGGCCATAGCAGAGAGCTGGATTGGAAGTGGAGCAGCCAGGACACAAACCAGTGCCCATATGGAATGCTGGCACTGCAGGCTGTGGCTTTAACCTGCTGTGCCACAGCGCTGGCCCCAACATTTAATTATTATTCACTATTTCTGTGCTCAACTGAGATCTTGTTTTGGACAATTAATATTTTCTTCCTTTTATCTTACTCTTTGTAAAAATTATTTTGAGTTAGTAGTTCTGTGCTTTATGGACCAAATCGATGCTTGGTGGCCAGCTCCATGGCTTTGGTGTTTGTCCTATTATAGAGTTTTTGTGCTCCTGTGCCTCACTGCTTTGGTAAGTACAGTGAGAAAATGAGGTACTTATTTTGTATGGGAAAGTCTCTGTATGCTTCCGATGTGATCAATCACGTGGCCATACTCTCAGTCATGCCAAGAGTCCTGATAAGCTCAAGAGGTTCTTGGAAATCCAGTGACTACTTTAATGGGGCTTCAGCCCATCTTCCTGGTTTGCTTTCTCCTTTAAAGTGCTCAGGATGCTATGAACAGATGAGAGTAGGCCATTTCTTCGGGAACGAAACTATCCAGAACTTCATGGACACCTTACATATCAGTACACTTTCTTCACATTTAGGACTTAGAACTTTTTCTTCGTTTTTTTCCTTCAACATGGAAGATTTCTACCAGCTTTCACATGAGGTTATCTTGGGTTTGCTAGTCTGTACCTGGTTGACTTTTAACAAAGGTTTTATTTTGATAACAGTGAAAGTCCACTTGCTTTATTTCCTATCTTACCCCTTCTGCAATTGTGGGGTTGACTTTTGTCTCATGAAAGATTTGAGTTATCTAGACCAATTGTATAGCAGTCCCAGGGAACAAGATTTTCTTGAAAATCTTAATCAATCAAGAAAGCATGGCTGGCGCCGCAGCTCAATAGGTTAATCCTCTGCCTGCGGTGCCAGCATGCCAGGTTCTAGTCCCGGCCGGGGCCCCAGATTCTGTCCCGCTTGCCCCTCTTCCAGTCCAGCTCTCTGCTCTGGCCCAGGAAGGCAGTGGAGGATGGCCCAAGTCCTTGGGCCCTGCACCCACGTGGGAGACCAGGAGAAGCACCTGACTCCTGGCTTTGGATCAGCACAATGCACCGGCCACAGTGGCCATTGGGGGGTGAACCAACGGAAAAAGGAAGACCTTTCTCTCTCTCTCTCTCTCTCTCTCACTGTCCACTCTGCTTGTCAAAAAAAAAAAAAAGCATAAAAATAAAATTTTAAAAAATGAGGATCATAGTTGAAGTAGTTTTCAAACAAGATAAAGAAATATTTTCATACCATCTACATTATTCATATCTTCTCATCACAGCTTTTTATTGTTGGGCAAGAGAAAAGGGAATGTGCTAAATTTAGGGTTATGCCCTCTTCAAGAATAACAAAAATGCCTTTGAGCTGAGGCTAGAACTTCAGGCATTAATGAAATTTGGCAGAAAAATTGTCAGGATTATTAACCACATTTCAATAAAAGAAGTACTGATTTTTACTAAAAGAAGAAAAAGAAAAGTAATCATCAAATAGTTTCCAGTTGGGTAATAACTTCATGGTGATGTTTAACAGTATACATGGGAGAGGGACTAATCTAGGCCCTTAGGTAGCTATCAATCGAGTCAAGATAAAAATTATAAAAGTGAAAAAATATAGATATCTCTGATTAAGTGTTTTGAAGGAAACAGGGAAAGTGGGAGCTTGTACAGGCAAACATTAATGATTTATTATAAAGTATTGTAGGAATATGTTTCTGACTTGTTTTATTTAAGGCTCTTGCTCCTACATGAAATAAGAATTCACAGCAGCGACATAAGTAAAGTACAAAAATGAGAGCAAGATTTATTTAGAGAGTGATTACACATTCACTTTTGAGTGTGGCAAATCCAATAAGGAGAGATGCTCACCTTGAGAGGACCAAACACACACACACATACACACACACACACACACACGGTGGGGGGAGAGAGCACGCCTCTGTGGTATTAGGGCCATTTCCCAAACTTCCTGAATAGCTACTTTCTTTGCTGCCCAATTTGCTGGTATATTTCCTTTGATGATGTGGCTATTCCCCTTTTAGTATACTCTACATTTCAAAACCGCCACTTTCAGAGGCTCCAAAACTGCCGGGGAAAGAACTAAAATCTCTTCTATCTCTTTTCCATGTTTAATGGGAGAGATTTTCTTTCAGTTATTATACATTTCGTCTTCAAATTGCTGCTCTAAATATGCAGCACAAGGAAAATGTATTTGGAGACTGTCTAAATATTAGCTCTTTGGCCTATTGCAAATTATAATTCTTCAGTCAACGCAGTAAGTTCAGCCTTCTGGGCAGAAGTGTTAGGTGATAATGTCTGAGTTTCTGTCACTTGAGTATGATCCACCATGGCATATCCTACCTTCCTGACTCCTTCCTTTATGAAACTACTGCCATCATGATCAAACACACATCTGGATTTTCCAGAGGCTCATCTTGTGAATCAGGCCCATTGGAATAGACCTGCCCTATAGCCTCTACACATGAATGGTCCAGCCTTTCCATACCTCCAGACACCAACAGAGTAACTGGATGGAGGACTTAACATTGAGATAACTTGAATTACGTCAGGTGAGTCTAAATGAAGAACTTTGTATATCTAGAATTCCATATGCCTTGTGCAGAATTTGAACTCCCAGGGGCTGGCCTAAAGTCGATTTGGTGGTTTCCTCCAACAAAAGCACTCTAGCTACAAAGCATGCAGGCCATCCTGTGGCTTCTGAATCCAATTGCTTAGAACAGTGGGCCACTGGTCATGAAAGTGGATCCTTTTCTGAAAGAATACCAGCTATTCCTTGTTTCTCTGCTACAAACAGAGTGAAAGACTTGTCTAGATTAGGCATTCCTGATACAGGAGCCTTTATTTTTATTTCCACAATCTTCTGAAAAGCCTCATATTTCTCTTCTGTTAGTTCAAATGGATGAGTGTCGAGACCATTTAAGGCCTTATATAAGGGTTTGGTTATTAACTCAAATCCTGAAATTGAAATCCTGTAGAAACCTACCATTCCTAGGAATGTCCTTAGCTGTTTCTTTGTGGTGGTTCTACATGTCATATAGCTTCCTTTAGCTTAAGTGAAAGAGCACATTTTCCTGGGGCCAGAATGTATCATTAAGTAGGTTGCTTCCTGTTTAGAAATCTGAACTTTGATTGAGGAGACTTTATATCCTCATTTCACTAAAAAGTTCAAGATCTGGAAGATATTTATATTTCCATTGAGTCTTCCTTAAGGGACTGCAAATGAAAATATCATCTACATATTGTAGATGTCTCCAGTCTTTAATTGGAGTCTCTTTGTGAGGACATTCCCAAATAGATTATGGCTACCCCTAAAGGCTTGAAGAAGGACTGTCCAAGTATACTGCTGAGATATATTTGAGAATTGATCAGATCATTCAAAGGCAAATAAATATTGAAATTATGGGTTTAATGATATGTAGAAGAAGGTATCCTTTGGTCTAGGACTGTGAACCATGAGATACCTTCAAGTATCTGTGTTAGTTTAACGTAGAGAGTTGGCACAATAGAGGTAAAGAAAAGTAACTGACTCATTAATAGCCTGAGATCTTGAACTAGTCTGTAATCCCATTTTGGCTTTAAAATGAGTATAACTGGGAGTTTTTACAATGAGAGTGACATGGAGCCAGGACTCCATGATTGAGAAATTTATTAGTCAAGGGTTGGGTCTTCACTCAGCTTCTGGCTTTTAGGGGTACAGGTGTTGATGAGGGGACATTGTCATGACCTTTAAAAGAACTGTGATGGAGATAACATGTGTGGCCCATTCAGCTATGCCATGATGCCAGACTTGAAGACGTAATCTATTTTTAATTTCAGCAGGAAAATCATTAATGCTGGAACTTGTCTCAGTGATTGTTAGCATCATGTCAGAAGACATAGACTTAGGATAACTTAACCTGAGAGAAGTCTCCAGGGATGATTTCAAATCCCTGCCAGTAGCAGAATTGGACTTCATGGCACTGCCAAAAACTGAAAACTGATGAGAAATAAGAACATCCTGTATCTGGCAAACTGAAGGCAAAGTAAATTTTTGAGAGTGATGTGTACTATCAACTGTGATGACATATATCTTTGAGAATAGGGGTCCCATGTGGAATTTCAGTATAGACTAAGTGTCTCCTACATCAATTAGAAAATCAATCCTTTTACCTGCAATATTGAAAATCAGCCAGGAAAAGCCCATGAGAGTATTTCAGGCATGGAAAGCCAAGACACTCTGGCAAAAAGATCTCTGTGAGTGAGATCCCAGTGGAAAGAACAGGTCTTCAAAGAGGGAGGTGCCTTTCTCTGAAGGGAGGAGAGAACCTCCACTTTGACTATGACCGTGTCTAAACAAGATAAGAGTCGGAGAACTCAAGGGGCTTCCATAGCCTTGGAAACTCATGACTGGTGCATAGGGAGATTACTGATGCCATAAACAGGAGTGTCAATTTGTAAAGTCAACAACAGGAGTCACTGTGCACTTACTCCTCATGTAGGATCTCTGTCCTTAATGTGCTGTACACTGAGGCTTAATGCTATAACGAGTACTCAAACAGTATATTTCACTTTGTGTTTCTATGGGGGTGCAAACGATTGAAATCTTTACTTAATGTACACTAAACTGATCCTCTGTAAAAAAAAAAAAAAAAAGAAATTATCAATTCCCAACTTGACTCTCACTGGGATTAAACATGACAATAGGTCTGATCTGATTTCATCATCATTTAAAAAAAATCATCTATTATTTTTCACTTTATGTTTCTGTGTGGGAGCAAACTGTTGAAATCCTTACTTAAAGTATACTAAGCTGATCTTCTGTATATTAAGATAATCGAAAATGAATCTTGATGTGAATGGAAGGGGAGAGGGAGTGGGAAAGGGGAGGGTTGTGGGTGGGAGGGACGGTATTGGGGGGAAGCCATTGTAACCCATGAGTCGTACTTTGGAAATTTATATTCATTAAATAAAAGATAAAAAAAAATCAGCCAGGATTTCAAGCATGAGATGTTCATATGTGTTGTGGGGGTTGCCCAAGTTTCAAGGTCTCACCAATCCTCATAAAAGGGCATGAGAATTAGGAGTCCTCCCCTCCCTTCAGAGCTGAGGACAATCCCACTTCTAGTGACCTTTTACATTGAAGGCAAGGGCCAAGTTGTATTTCAGGTGGGAACATTCCTTATACCAGTGACCAGCTTCCCACACCTAAGACTTTCTCCCGTGGGCCTTTTAGCCACAACAGAGTGCCACCCGGATTGATCCTGAGTCATCTGATCCATGTTATAGTGGCTGCTATCTCATGAGCCTGAGGTCTGGGCTACTTCCTACATTGGAGTACCTTCTCTTCTTCAGCCCTATCTCTATTATTAAACATCTGGAATGCCGTATCTAACCTCTGGTTCTGTAGCCCCATGACCAGTTTCTGGGAATTATTATGAATACCTGGTGCTGACTGACTGATGAAATGGTTACTAAGTAGGACTTTACCTTCAGGAGTGCTGGGATCTATGTTAGTATATTTCTTTAAGGTTTCTACAAGCTGTCTCTAGAGTAAGGCTTGATTTTCTTCCCTAACTGTGTTATCTCCCTGACTTTATCATAATTTACAGGCTTCACAATACATAGCCCCATCCTCACCAGTAGACAGGTAATCATAAGGTCTTGTACTCTAAATCTTAATGATGTCATTAATAATTCCAATCAGATGTTGTTGTTGGGACTGACAAAGTCCATGAGCTGCCAGAGAATCAGCATGGGCTTGAGCTTCAACCCAGATATGCTGATTATCTTCCAGGGTGAAATAAGTGGATAAGACAATGTGTAGATCAGCCTAGGTCAAGGCAAAGACCAGAGCTAGAACCTGAAACTCCTCATTGAATTTGGAAGGATCTTCTGAGAGCCTCCCTAGCTGTTGCTTACAGTGACTTAACTGAGTCATGGAGAAAGGGGCATGTACTGTAATTTTCCCAGCATCTCCATTTGTCACCTATTTCAGAGGACAGGTCTTGCTTATATTCAGTCAATGGGTTGCCATGGTCAGTGAATATAGTTGGGCTGTCCTCTGGTAGACAGGGACAGGATTGGTTGAAGGGTGGAAGTTGGGGCTAATAGAATGTGAAGGAAAATCAAGTTATGAAGCATAGGGCAGGACCTAGAACCCCTGGGAATGGTTCCAGTGCTGGGACATGTTGAACTTGGGGTGGTGAAGGACCACCCAATAGTGGCTTATCCACCTGTCTGTTTATTCCTTATATCTCCTGTCTTGAGAGAACAGGGATGTAATAGAGCCCACATCTCCTTTTAAGAGTGGGGTTTTCAAGGAATTGCTGGTCATTTTTATTGCTTCTTACAGAAGAGGCAATACCAGCCATCAGATGTTAATTGCTGGAGAAACAAATGATCTGATTAATCAGTAATACTATATACTCCTTAATTCCATGAGTTGATTTTAGCAAGATGTTGATTTGAAATAATAATAAAAAACACAGGGCACAGACATCTTAAACTAATATAGGGAGGCTAGCAGGCTGACAGCTAGTGTTATCTAGCACCTGCATTCAAGATGTGTATAGAGACCTGGTTTCAACAGGGGCTCTGTGACCAACTAACAATATGAAAAGAATGCATATATGTAATAAAATTGCCCATAAACCAAGGGTCTGATAACCTCTTGACATATATCTGGAGTCTCTGGATACAATGTGATTATCTGATCATTACAGAATGTGAATGTGACCAAAAGGTACATTCCCAGGTAACTGCTGGAGATGTGCATTAATCCTGTTCTCCTAATTACCTCGCAAGTCCATTTTGAAGAATGTCCTAAATGCTGCTTTTTAATTATGTTTTTTCCTTTTATTTTCATCCAGAGGGGCTTGCAACTGTAAGCACAAGACAGCATTAACCCCTCCCTTGGCTTTGTAAGGAACTAAGATCCAGACGTAGAGTACTTCAACGACATCTTGAATCCAGTTCTACTCTGCCAGATCAACACTGTGACTGGGGGAAGCAGCAGTTCTTCCCTAGGTATAATCAAGTTTCAGTCTTTTTTTAAAAAATATTTACTTATTTATGTGAGAATCATAGAGGAAGAGACACAGAGAGAGAGAAGAGGGAGAAAGAGAGAGAGAGATCTTTCATCTACTGGGTCACTCCTTAAATGGCTGCAATGGCTGGAGCTGAGCCAATACAAAGCCAGGAATCAGGAGCTCTTGTGGGTCTCGTATATGGGTGCAGGGGCTTAAGCACCAGGACCATCTTCTACTGCTTTCTTAGGCCGTTAACAGAGAGCTGTATTGGAAGTGGAGCAGCCGGGACATAAACCAGTGCCCATATGGCATGCTAGTGCCACGGGCAGAGGCTTAATCTACTATGCCACAGTGCCAACCACATTTGGTCTTTTTGATTAACATGGCTTTACTCTTCATGAAGTTGACTGTGACTGATTTACACGGAGCTTGGCCTATAAGGGATCTAGCTTGGACACATTATCCTTTATTGATTATGTGTCATTTGCCTATTTAATTAGAATTTAATGTAATTTTATGGATACAGGAGAAAGTGAATCCATATTTCCCTATCCTTCTTCTCTTGAGTTTATGCTTTGGAAGTAGTTGTTTTAAAGTTGTTTTTAATGCTTAAATAAAAGAAAATAATGATTTTGGTTTTACTTTGTATATAAAATGTACTTGTATATCTTATATTCTAAGAATACCTCACTTTTTTTACCTAACATTTTCAATGAAAGCCTAACATTATAATTAGGTTAATTTAAAATCCTAGATGAGTTGTCAAGGATGGGGACTACAGTTTTTAGGATTTATCCAATCCATCAATCACTTAAAAATATATTAACAAGATATGCCATAGCTACTATAAAGTCCACTCATTTTTAGTGTACAGCTCAGTATTTTAGTTTATTTAAAGAGATGTGCAACCATCACCTTAATCCAATGTTAGAAGTTTTCATGAACTCAAACTGTCTGCCCATCAGTAGTCACTCCCCAT